ACGGCATATCCACATTTTTCAAATGCTTTAGATATCACAGGCATGGCTTTTCCGAGCTAAGTTAATAATGAGAGTATTGGAAGATTCGAAGATAGGAATGATATTCCAAATAATGTTTACGGTTCAGAGAGTTAATTTGACAAGGGTAAAATAAAGTATGATGTGATTGGTCCATTGCGATACTCACAGAGAAGACTCCAGAGACATGTCAATTTGTTACTTATAACTGATGACTTCACTATTATTGAATAGAAGATCTTTCAAGATCAGTTTCTAGTCAACTAGCAGCTCATGAACACAAAAAATATTTTTGTGCGTCATAAAATGAATGATTGTAATCTCGTTAGTACTACAACACCAACCACTAATTTTAAGATCAATAAATATGGTAGGATGGTTGCGGAGAATGAATTAATGTTTGAAAACTTTGAAAGACAAATGAATGTGCCATTTGTAGTATATGCTGATTTTGAATCAGTACTTGAACCGATTCATGTGAATGAGCCAAATACTGAAAGTTCATACACGGATAAAACATTTAAACATGCCCCTTATTCATTTGATTATTTGATGGAATGTTCATATAATGATGATTTGTCAAAATTTGTTACATATAGGGGCGTAGATGCTGCTCAGATATATGTGAGTAGCATTGAAGATGATTTGGAAAAGATAAATCAAAATCATCTCAAATACCCTATACCAATGAATGCATAAACCCTCGAAGGAGAGGAACAATTTGCTGCAGCCAAAAATTGTGGTATATGTAATAAACCATTTATTGATGGAAAAGTCAAAGTTAGAGATCATTGTCATGTCACAGGGAAGAAAAGATCACATGCCGCTCTTTCGAAATGTAATTTGAATTTCAAAATCCTTAATTTTATACCTATTATTTTCCATAATTTAAGTGGTTATGATTGCCATTTATTCATGAAAGAATTGTATAAGAACAAAGAGAAAGTTGATGTTATCCCGCAAACAAGGGAGAAATATATATCTTTCACGAAACATCTCTTTACACATACCTATACCGATACAGATGGTAGGGTTAAGAACAAATATATCAAAATGAAATTTATTGATAGTTATAAATTTATGACTAATTCGTTGGAGAAGTTGGGTGCTAACTTGACCTCTGATCAATGTTTGGAGATGCACAAACATTTCCCACAGATTGAGAAATTCAATTTGATGAGACCGAAAGATGTATTTCCATTTAGTTCCGTTGATGACACTGACAAATTGAATTATCCATTACTTCCGACAAAAAATCAGTTTTATGACAAACTCAGTTGTGAACATATATCAGAAAATGAATATGATAGGGTTAGAAATGTGTGGAATTCATTCAAGTGTCAGAATTTGGGTTGATACTCTGATTTGCATTTGAAGTCAGATGTATTGCTATAATGTGATATTTTTGAGAACTTTCGCACCACAAGTTCAGAGATATAAATACTGCACCTGGATTATCTTGGGATGCTATGTTGAAGTATACGAATATTGAATTGGAATTACTAACTGACATTGATATGATTCACTTTTTTTAAAAAGGTATACGAGGTGGAACTAGTCAGTGTAGCGAGAGGAAACATAGCAAATAATAAATTTTTACCAAATTATAATCCCAATGAACCTTCGACATTCATTACATATTCAGATGCAATAAATCTATACGGTCATAGTATAGATTGTGGTTTGATTGTGATGAATACACATAGAGTATTGAAATTCAAACAATCATGTTGAATGAAACCCTATATAGATCTCAATACTGAAATGCGTAATAGGTCTAACAACAAATCTGTAAAAGATTTCTATGAACTAATGAATGATGCGGTGTATGGAAAGACAATGGAGAATGTAGATAACCTAATTGATGTTAGACTCGTTACACATTGGGAAAATATAAAGAAAAATATAGGGGCCAGCACTCTCATATCCAAACCAAATTTCAAAAATTGTTCAATTTTCACAGATAATTTCGTTGTCATTCAATTGGGTAAAGTCAAAGTCCAATACGATAAACCATTATATTTGGGATTTTCTATATAAGAATTATCTAAAACAGTCATGTTTGACTTTTTCTATGGATGCATCAAACAACACTTTGGTAAAAATGTCTCTTTACTTTACACAGATACTGACTCTCTCATTCTCAAAGTAAATACAGAACATTTTTATGAATTCATGAAAAATAACATAAGTAGGTTTGATACATCCAATTAAAGTATAGTTAATCAATTTAATATTCTAGTAACAAGTTCAGTCTTGGGTAACTTCAAAGACGAATTTCCGAATGATCCAATCATGAGCTTTTATGGTACTGGTGCAAAAGAATATTAAGTGAAATCTGTTGATGGTGAATTCAAAATAGCTAAGGGGGTGAAACGATCGGTTATAAAGAATGAATTGACATGCGAAGATTACCAACATGGTGGTATGCTATTCAGAAAGATGAATTCATTTAGGAGCGTGTTGCATGATATATGTAAACTGAATTGAAGAATGAAGTTGCATTATCATACCACGACGATAAACAATTTATCATTCCGAATACTACTCACACTCTTCCTTGAGGTCATAATGAAATTGAATTTTATCAAAACGATCCAAATGATAAAATTCGTTGGATAAATAATATTATTCAACAATCACATCCTCAGGAAAGTCCACTGGCTCAACTAATTAATTTACTGTCTGTCGAGTTCAATGACTGAAATACCATTTAATGTCGTTAAAAACGGAAAATTCAATATTGATGTTCATGTAGGTATTTATAAATGAATAATAACGTGTAGCAAACTGTAATGTGATATTGAGGTATTGTGTATGTATATGTATTACTTTTACCAAATTTCTTTAACGAATATAAAAATGATAAATATTTCATTTGTTTCATTTCTATTTTCCTAACCAATTACTGCAAAGTATATAGCAAAATGTAAATGAAAGAAATATCAGTTTGAAAGGAATCATCGTGGGTACACAATCTCTAAAACAATAGATAAATTTGGTAATAGATTTAAAATAACAATAGATGGTCATTATCACATGCAAAGAAAAATATTGAAAAATACAAGCGAACCAATAGACAAAAGTGGTAGTGTAACTGTATCATATTTTGAGAAAGAAATTATTGAAACAAAGGAGGTCATACTTCTAGCCCTACAAGCTGCAATACAATCAACAATAGGTAATGTTGCTCGCGATGCACGTCAAGCATTCGACGATAAAATTGCGGAGGCTCGAATAACAATGGAAAAACATGACGCTTCTGAACAGAGAGTTGTAGTTTTGGAGAAATAATATAAACTCAGTTCATCAGATGGGCCATTACTGTGGTGAAACATGTGGAAAAAACCAAGGAAGTACCAAGTACTTTCTTGGTTTTTTTGGTTAGAATTAATTTTGTTGAAAGATAAAACCTCTGAATCTGTTCTAAAAGCTTTTAAAGACACTTTTACTCGTTTTGGGTATCCATCCTTCATTATTGCAGATAATTTACCTTTTATATCAAATCGTTGTCTTAAATATTATAAAGAAAAAGATATAACAATAAAGACATGCTCTCCTCACTACCACCAATGTAATGGCATGGCAGAAAAAGCAGTTAGTATTAGCAAACAAATTTTGAGAAAATGTAATGATGATAAAAAGATTTCAGAGAATGTGTACTAGAATACAATAATTCTCCCATTATAAATCATAATGCTTCTCTTGTTCTGATTTTGCAAAGCAGATTTTAAAAAATCACAATTACAACCAAAAATTCAAACACACATTCACCAGAAACTAGTCTCACAAAAGGAAATTGTAAAAACTAACTATGACAGATTAGTTCGTAGAAACCCTCAAATGTTCAAAAAAGGGGATAAGGTAGTAATAAAGTTTAATAATGATAGTACTTGGTGAAAAGCTGTTGTAATAGAGAAAGCATCTGAACCAAGATCATACTGGGTGAAGAAAGAGAGCAATAATAAAATCGTTCGTCGGAACACCTCTCAAATGAAATTATCAAAAACAAATTCTGATTACAAATTCATTTGTGAACTAGAATTATTTCCAGATACTCATTATACTAATCAAAATAATCAGAACTTTGAGGACCCTCAAAATGATTCTATTCATCAGCTCTCTAAACAGTAGTTCATTTAGCCCAAAAGCAACTCTTTCTAAACGTGATAGTTGTAATAATAGTGACTCGCTATCTAAGTTAAGTAGTCATAGTGCGCGTAGTGCAGTGAGTGCGTTTAACCAAGACTGTACTCCCAATGAGCATCAGACTAGAAGTACTAGAACTCGCTCCCGTTATGGTCGCTTAGTTAGACCACCGCGTCATTACGATAGTTACACTTCCAATGAATCGGATAGTTCATCTTGAAGGGGAAGGTGTTGAAATATTATATAGAGAAGAAGACTGTCATTTGTCTCATGTCAATATAGGATGTTCTTGCTTCTTGTCAAATATACACGTTTTACAAAAAGGGACTAGGGCTTTTTATTGAACATGGGCAATGTCTCAGCCATTACCTTTTGGAGGTTTCAAATGGACCTATACAAATATTGATGTTATAATGATTCCAGATGATTCACCGGTGGGTGATCATCTGGACATTTTACATGTTGATTTAGACTACCCTCGAACTATAAATGACTCACACAAAGACTTTCTTTCCATTTCCTGCAGATCATTCAGTTCCACCCACTTCAAAATTACCAAAGTTGATTGCTGATTTACATAATAAAAAATAATATATCTTGCATTATAGAAATTTGAAACAAGCATTGGCAAACGGTTTGATTTTAACTAAGATACATAAGGTATTGGAATTTAAACA